TGCAAGCCAACTGCGGCAACTTCCATGGAAGATGTTTTGCAGTTGCAGGTGGATATTCTTCAACTTATTCGCCAAAGAAGAGTCAATCAAAATATATTAGAAAAGGCGATGGATTGCCTATACGAATAATTTTTATTTAATTGTTTTTCCTAACAAGAGAATAAATGTGCATTTGATCATTGTATTTTGACTTTTCATGCATTTTGACTTTTAAAATTAATTCTAATCAAGGAAAAATAAAATATATGCAGGGTGTTTATAAAGTCCCGGACCCATTTTGATGTTTATTAACTCACAAAATAATAAAGATAGATTAAAATTAATAACATAAATGGTTAGATAGACTCAAAAAGTTTCATGACCCTTGTCAATGAACTTCCACGTGTGCCCCCTGCTTCGCACGCAGAATATCAAGTCGATAGTCAATTTCGCGCCAGGTAGCTTTCTTTTTAACAGAAAAGACTGTCTCATCAGTCGTATACTAAGACATGTTGGAAAACTTCGTATTTCCACAACTAGAAGAGCTTCAGCCACATGTCTTTTTGCAACAAGATGGTGTACCACCTCATTGGGGAATCATCGTTCGTAGTTCTTTGAATGACCATTTTCCAGGAAGATGGATTGGGTGAGGAGGTCCAATTCCTTGGCCACCCAGATCACCTGAGATAACGCCATTGGAATTTTTTCTTTGGGGATTTATGAAGGACAATGTTTACAGGAGGATCGTGTCGAACATTGATGACCTAAAAGCCAGAATTACAACCGCAATAGCCTCTATGGATGCCGACAAGCTTGCCGCTACCTGGCGTGAAATTGACTATCGACTTGACATTCTCCGTGCGACGAAGGGGGCACACGTGGAAGTTCATTGACAAGGGTCATGAAACTTTTTGAGTCTATCTAACCATTTATGTTATTAATTTTAATCTATCTTTATTATTTTATGAGTTATTAAACATCAAAATGGGTCCGGGACTTTATAAACACCCTGTATATTTACCACTAAACGGTCTTTTAGTACTTCGTAAATTGCATCGAGAACTAACGGGTGGAATATTGTACTTTTGGGCACTCTGTAAAGGGCTTCAAGACTTGAGAAACTATCACCAGAAATACTTCAATGCTATTTTACAAATGATGGAAGAGCTGTTCTCATACTTGTATCCACCTTCCTTTCCAACGGTTCAACTCGCTTCAAAAGTTCGTCGAATTGTTCCGGTTTTAGGCTTAAATGATTTTTGAAAGTTTTAGGATCTTCAGCTCTTACTTCAGAGAGAAAATTAGTAGGAGCTCCAAAAGCAGCTCTGCGATTAATCCATTTACGAACCCACATTTTACGCTTTTTTCTCTTTCTTTTAAGGTTTTCTAAATCTTTTACTAGCATATCCGCTACAATAGCTACGCTTTCAAATACGTTATCCTTTTGCATGAGCAACAAAAAACCAAAAAATAGTAGACAACGCTATAAATAAGAAAACCTAACTCTCGTTCCAGTAGACTTCTCATTTTGAGGTAACTCTCACGTTGACCGTCGGGAGGGGGGGGGGGGCACAAATTCTCATACAGTGGAGTGCAAACTTTTCTTTGGTAGAGGGGAACGAGATTTTCTTCATCTGATTCACAGAAGAGAAACATGCTTCATAATAATATTTTTCTTAAAAATTAGATATGGAGTTTTTTTTTTTATCATAATTTGTGGTTAAAAAAATATTATCTATTTCCCTTTCAATTTCTTAAAAAAATTAAAAAAAAAAANATAATTAAAAAAATAAAAAAAAAAAAAAAAAAAAAAAGGAAATCTAATGTTTTTTTTTTTTTTTTATATTACAGAAAAAATAGTAGTGCAATACGAAAAATAATTTTATTTCTTATGGTGTTATTGGAGCTCGAAATATTTTAAAAATAGGTACCAGTAACAAGTCAGTTTATATAAATATATATACATATATATATATGAAAGGGTAGCAGTCATGGTGAGTTTTGTTAGGCCACGCAGATAGCAGTTGGAAGGCAAAAAATATTTTATTAGCTTCACATAGTACAGGGGTGGCGAACCTTTGTACACCAACGTGCCATTTTCTCTAAAAAATTGCTTAATGATGAGGTCATAGACGTGCCGTCAAATAATTTTGACTTCGTGATTATTGGGAAAATAATAATACTATACTATCAACTCAAAACTCTTTATTTACATTGAAAAAAAAATACATTTTGCAATGTCTCAGTTATGCACGTAATTCAACTTAAAGTAACATCAGTGTGACTTCTGTTGTTGCAGATTAGATGACCAATAACTTATATTAGGTTGTAAGATGTTAGTTTAAGCAGGACTGTTGGTTTTTTTTGCTAGTTATTTATTGTTAGCTTGTTTTTTATGGTTATTAATTTTTTTTGCATTAATTTTTAATTTTTTTATTAATAATTGTTTATTATTTTGTTTGTTTTTGTGAATTTTAATTTAATTGTTACATATGCTTCATAGCGTAATAACATTTGTGTAATAACAATTCATAGTGTAACAACAATTGTGATCGGTGGAGTGCCCAAAATATTGTGTCGCGTGCCATAAATGGCACGCGTGCCATTGGTTCGCCATCCCTGACATAGTATATTCAAGACATTTTCTATCAAAGGCGGAGCTCAAATTCGCACTACAAAACTGTGTGCTTAAGTTTTTATCCTAGGGAAAGTAGCAAAAGAATTTCCCTCTATTTTGTTATATTTTAGGGAGAAAGGGAAATCATAGGAATAGTTCATTAGTTTAAGAAAAAGGTCGAGTGATTCCTACGAAGATTATAGGGGGAAAATGTCTTTACATTTAATTATGCATACTTTAGCCAAAAATAGATTTAAGAACACGATGTGGCTTTTAAAAGTGTGAGAAAGCTTTTCGACTTGAATATTTAATTAGTAAAAAATTAGGAGTTCTTTTATAGCGAAGAAACTAACATAGAAGATTAATAGAAGCTTTTTATGTTATATTATTAAAAATAATTACATTTTATTTTTAAATTTAATAAAACAAATTAGAAGGCTAGAAACTAAAATAACGGAAAGATATAATCTTATTGTCAGCTCACACGATTATTATATCCTCAAATTAGAGGGCTGTCTAATATTGCACTAATATAGCCAAAACAAAATATATCAGCCCAATAGTGTGAGGAGCACCAAAAAAGTTTTTGAAACAAAAATAGAACATATCAAGAAAAAAAAAAAGGAAAATGAAACAAAAATTTTAAGATACAAAAAAAAAAAAAGAAATAACTCAAGACATAAAACGTCGTAATTTATAGCAAGTAGTAAGATGAGAAGTTACTTAGTAACATTTCGCAAAAAGGATTTAAAAATATTTTCGCAACCTGTTTCCCAGATTACAAAATATGAAATTAAAGTGCAAATTGAGGGTAGTGGGATGTTTTCTAACCTGACGCACTTGTTATGAAAATATTTGTAAATCATTTTTGCAAGATGTCAGTAAAAAAATGAACTTCTAATCTTGCTTCATATATTGCGCTATATGTTTTATTTAGTATTTTTGCTTGTTTGATATGTTCTATTTTTCGTTTCAATTTTTTTTTTAATGCTTCTCACATTATTACACTGATACATTTTGCTTTGGTTATATTAATACAGTAGGGAACCGATTATCCGGAACCATCGCTATTCCGGATAACTGACTTTTCTGGTTTTCTGAATCACTTCAAAAAGCCGTTTTTTTATTGTTAAACCAAACTAAAAAAAAAAAAAAAAATATTTGAAAATAATCTTAAAAAGAAGAAAAACGATGAAGTAATACACTAATGATTATTTCCAAAATTATGGTAAGGTAAACATCTTTCAAAAAAGAAAGAAAAATCCTGTACTGTCACAAATTCAATTTTAATAAAATTGGTAATTTCACAAAATACTTCATATACATATTTTGATTCTACATATTTTCGAAAAAGCCTTAAATATTTTTGAAAATATTTTCTTATTTTACCATATTTTTGTGTCAGGTTTTTTAATATAATTTTTAAATTTCACAAATTATGTCTGAATTTTCACAAAACAGGTACCTCTAAAAAACCTAGACAGATCCCTGACTACAGTTGTTTTTTACAAACAGAATGTTGTAGTAAGAAAATGTATCATTCAGCCAATTATAGCCACCATCAGTAAAGTCCCTATTTCTAAGTCTCATGATATTGAATGTCTTATATCCAACTGAATTAAAAGAAAAAAAAATCACAAACAAATTTGATATTAAAAGCTCTGGACAAGATAGTTAAAATACTTTCTTATAAAAAATTGTTAAATAAAGTTAGACAATGAGATTAATAACTAAAATGAAAATTATTGTGAACAGATCCTTTAAACATTATCTGTATAAACTTATAACAAGAATAAAGTTAGTCAGCAGTATGAACAGAACAGTGAGCATAAAAATCCTTAACAGAGATAAACTCTAACACCCGTATTCACCATGGAAACTAACCCTCACGTTTTATACGAGCAACTCCAGGTTAGATTCCAAAATTTCATTTCACCATGGGCCTAACTGCTAGTGAGTTGAACCCAGAGTTAACTAACTTTAAACAGAAGATTTCCCCAGTTTGAGTAACCACTGATGCGCAGTAGGCGATTTTTTATTTGTTTATGTTTTCAAAATTAACACTTTTGATGTTCGGTTGCTTCTTTTATGTTCAGTGAGGTCAATTTATTATTAGATGTAACTATAATTAATTTATATCAAGTAAATGCTTATTAATAAAATGGATATTAAGTTTTTCCTAATTTAATATATACCAGAGAAGATATTATATATATTTCTTCAATTACTATTAGCAGTCGTTGCTGCACTTAAATTATTTTTCACTCGGAAAAAAAATCCTGGATAATACAGATTGAATCCATAATAATAGTTCACAAGAATAGCATAAGAAATTAAAATTCTAAATAATTTAACCAGCTTTTATTTATTTTTTTAAATAGAAAAAAAAATTCAAAAAAAACAATGGATGCTTGAAAGAAATACAAAAAAGAATACAATTCATAAAATGATTATAGATCTTGATGATATCTTTCGAGATGATAGATCTTGCCCAAAAATATAATATAGTTTACAGATGAAAATGCAAATAATTTGCAATATTTACATATGAAGATAATGAATGAACTTTTAAAAAAAAATTTCATCCACCAAATAAAACTATTAATAAAATTAAAAACACATACAATATTTTTAATCTATATTAAAACTTATGCTGAAATAAATATTATTTAATCAAAACAAATCTTGATCTGAGGTAACATTTAAGCTACACAATAATCAGCATCAAATAAGCATTAGAATTTAGAATAAGCATTAGAATTAGAATAAGCATTAACTTTAATAACCATAAAACAATCAGCTGAACATTTGGAAAAAATGGAATCTTTAGGGAGGGATTCATTGCTTAATACTATATGAAGTTAAAATGCAATCTTTAATTAAAATTTTTTTTAAATATATGGCCTGAGTACTTTATGGCAAGGGGTACCACTCTAACGAAAATTTCAAGACTGAACTTATTTTTTGACCAAATAATACTGTCTAGTGCTGTTTACCAAACTTTTAGAAATTTATTGCTCACTGATATCAAAGTTTACCTTTCCTTGATAATAGCCTACATATTAAATGAATCATTTGATTATTTTTGCTAAATATGTTTTTCTTTATTTTATGTTTTTTTTAGCAAACAAAACTAAAATAACAGCTAACTTTGTATACTTTTTTACAGCTAATACTGAACAACCTGAAACCATTCATATCTCAATTTTTCACTTCATCGTTACTTATTTTTTGTCCTAGCACTATAATTTCTTTCTTTTTAAAAAAAAATAATCTTAATTAAATTTGGCCAGCATGACAATAGGTTATGGTGGGGGAAGCAAACTCGAGCAGATTTAGATTCAGTAATAGTACAAATTTAATTGCACAAGAAGATGAAGTTCAATCATTCCCATTTGCCAAGAATTTAAGAATAAGATTTAGTGAAGTTGACAAAAATAAGATAAATAATAGTCCTGATGTCATTACCATATCATATGTTTTCATTAAGATATATTATTTTTTATCTTGACGAAAATTTTTTTTAAAACTTCTAATGAAAAAAGAAAGAAAACTTAAAATTAAATTGCTAGAATTTATTAGTCCATTCATTTGTCTCAAGACTGATTTCAGTCCCCAGAATTGAAGAGTGGTACCCATGTTTATGACATCTGGGGCATATACAACTGACATATTTCCATTTACAATTATTTAAAAAATTAAATTGTTAAATGTGTGATTTTTTTAAAAATTTTGGAATATTTGTTCAGATTATGATATTCGCCCTTAAAAAAAATCGTTATCTTATTAATCATATCCCCTACGGTTTTTCTATCTTCGGCAGATTTCAGCACAATAATAGTCATTTGTAACTTCTTCTTAATAATAGGAATTTGTTGATTTATGCTTATCTGAGCTGAGAAGTTTATTTTATACAATTTCATTTAAAGTGTTTAAAAAATGAAAATTCTTTTTAATGGCTTAAGTTATGAAGGGAAGAAAAAATTTAAAAATGTGTGAATAAGGATGAGGAGGATGTTAGCATAATTCCTTTGATTGTTGTTTGAAATAAAAGTATTAAATAATTGTGTGAAATAAAAGAATTTTTAATTGAATTTCAGTAATATTTCTATGTTTGTGCGCAGCCTTATGATATCAATAATAATAAAATATCTAAATTCATAATAATAATACTTAGATCCTTTTGCTCATCAATACAAGTCAGTTAGGAAAATTAAACTTAAATTTTTTTTCATTTGTCCAGTAAAAGAGTGATTCAAATTTTATTACTCAATGCAATCTTTTTCTTATTCTTTCATAGAAAATTTGTTTTAACAACAGCAACAAAAAATCAAACTGTTAATAAGGCTGTAAATCTGCCACCGGAGAGCAAGTTAACATCGAGTTTAGAAATCCCAAGTTACAAAACAGACGGTCCAAAAATAATAAATACACTTTTTCAATCCTGGTCAATATTTCCAAAAAGGGGCTTCGGAACTGGTAATACGTGTTAGTTCAGTGTCAACAGTGAATAGGGGGGTAAGAATTAACTACAAGAACCAGGTTTCTCCCTAGTATGAACAATGCTGTGTCTCATCAGAAGACTGTTGCATGAAAAATTCCTATTACATATACCACAAGAATAAGGCTTCTCTCCAGTATGAACACGAAAGTGTACAGCCAGACTTTCACTGCATGAAAAACTCTTATTACATATACTACAAGAATAAAGTTTTTCACCAGTGTGAACATGACTGTGGTTAGTCAGACGACTTTTCCGTGAAAAACTCTTATTACATATACTACAGGAATAAGGTTTATCAGTGTGAACAAGATTGTGTTTCGTTAGATAATTTTTTTGTGAAAAACTCTTGTTACATAAACTACAAGAATAAGGTTTATCACCAGTATGAATATAATAGTGTTGAGTAAGTCTACTTCTGTTTGAAAAACTCTTATTACATATACTACAAGAATAAGGTTTCTCCCCAGTGTGAACACGAAAGTGTTCATTCAGATGACTTCCTCGTAAAAAACTCTTATTACAGAAACTACATGAATAAGGTTTCTCCCCAGTGTGAACACGATTGTGTTCAGTTAGATGACTTTTTTGTGAAAAACTCTTGTTACATAAACTACAAGAATAAGGTTTTTCACCAGTATGAACACAATAGTGTTGAGTAAGATTACCTTTTTGTGAAAAACTCTTATTACATATACTACAAGAATAAGGTTTTTCACCAGTGGGAACACAAAAGTGTTCATTCAGATGACTTGAATCTGAAAAACTCTTATTACACATACTACAAGAATAAAGTTTCTCACCAGTGTGAACACGACTGTGATTAGTCAGTTGACTTTTTTGTGTAAAACTCTTATTACATATACTACAAGAATAAGGTTTCTCACCAGTGTGAACACGATTGTGGCGATACAGATTACTTCTGTTTGAAAAACTTTTATTACATATACTACAAGAATAGGGTTTCTCCCCAGTGTGAACACTACTGTGTTTAATCATGTTACTAAAATTTGAAAAACTCTTGTGACATATACTACAAGAATAAGGCTTCACACCAGCATGAAAAGTACTATTCTTAGTCAGATCACTCTTAAATAAGAAAAACTCTTATTACATATGCTACAAAAGAAAAGGTTTTTCACTACTATCGACAGGACTGTATTCAGTCACATTATTTTTTGTGAGAAAATCCTAACACATATATTACAAGAGTCAGATTTTTATCCAGCAAGAGTCCGATTGTGGTCAGTTTGATGATTTTTCCATGAAAAACTCTGATTACACGTTTCACAAAAATAAGTTTTCTCACCAACTTGCATGGTCATTGTATACTTAGTAATATTAGCATTTGTTCCAAGTCTCACAGATCACCTTGTATAAAAAAATGTGTCTTTACGTAAAGTTATTGTATATAATTAATGTCACAGAAATGTAATAATTACTTATGCTTCAAATGCTAAGTTTATCAGAACAATTAAATTAAATTTTAATAGAAATTAAAATATATTTTATAAAAAAAAATTATTTCCTGAATAATAAGAAAAGAAGTTGAGACTGATTTTACATCTAATATTGATATGGACAGTAATGTTTAAATTATTAATAATCTACTTAAAAATCATAATAGTATCATTTAAAATGTTTGAAAGCAATCTATATTTTATTCTTGTTAATTGTTCAAACCTGATTAGTCTATTTAGTGCAGCATTAAAAACGCTGTAATTATGGTTATATATGCCTAGTCAAGAGTACAATTAAATTCTAAATAATATTTGCAATGACAATGTCTGTCTCTAGATGTATAATGAAGATTTCCTAATATAAAAAGATAATTGTGCCATAAGAGCAAGATCTGCGACTAGGACTGGGCGATATTAGAAATTAT